AAAAATATTCAAAATAGCCAATCAAAATATTAAAATAATGTCCATCTTCATCTAGCTATTGCCTCCAAACATTGACAAGATCACAGAATCACAGAATATGCTGAGTTGGAAGGAAGCCACAAGGTTCATCAAGTCCAACCCTTCGCCCCGAACAGGACCATCTCCAAGAGTCACATCACGCACCCAAAAGCATTGTCCAAATGCTTCTTGAACTCTGTCAGGCTTGGAGCTGTGACCACTTCCCTGGGGAGACTGTTCCAGTACCCAACCACCCTCTGGGTGAAGAACATTTTTCTAGCATCCAACCTAAACCTCCCCTGACATAACTTCAGGCCATTCCCTCGGCTCACCACAGAGAAGAGATCAGCACCTGCCCCTCCTCTTCCCCTCACAAGGAAGTTGTAGACTGCAATGAGGTCCCCCCTCAGTCTCCTCCAGGCTGAACAGACCAAGTGACCTCAGTCACTCCTCACATGGCTTCCCCTCAAGGCCCTTCACCATCTTCGTTGCCCTCCTTTGGATGCTCTCTAAGAGCTGAATATCTTTCTTATATTGTGGTGCCCAAAACTGCACACAATATTCAAGGTGAGGCCGCACCAGTGCAGAGCAGAGCGGGACAATCCCCTCCCTCGACTGCTTGGTGATGCTTTGCCTGATGCCCCCCAGGACATGGTTGGCCCTCCTGGCTGCCAGGGCACTGCTGACTCATATTCAACCTGACACAGACCAGGACCCCCAGGTCTCTTTTTGTGGCACTGCTTTCCAGCATCTCATTCCACAGTCTGTACGTACACCCAGGGTTACCCCATCCCAGGGACAGAATATGTCACTTCCCCTTCCTGAACTTCATATGGTTGGTGATTGTCCAGTCTTCTAATTTGTCGAGGTCTCTGCAAAGCCTCCCTGCCTTCCAGGGAGTCAACAGCTCCTCCCAGTTTTGCATCATCTTCAAATTTGCTTAGTATTCCTTTCAGTCCTGTGTCCAATTCATTTATGAAGATATCAAAGAGCACAGGATCCAAGATGGAACCCCACTAGTGACAGGTTGCCAGTCTGATGTCACCTCATTCTCTATTACCTTCTGTGCTCGACCTACAAGCCAATTGCTCACCCACCACACGATGTGTTTATCCAGCCATGTGCTGGACATTTTGTCCAGAGGGATCCTGTGAGAGACAGTTTCAAAAGCTTTACTGACTGCCTTGTCTTTCAGGTATTTATCAATACCTCTGAAAGTAACCTTCTCCATAATTTTACCAGGCACTGAAGTGAGACTGACAGGCCTGTAGTTCCCAGCACTTCTTGAAAATCCAGACAAACTGATGATGAGTAAATACTTCACAAGCAACTCTTCTCTAAAATCTCCATATTCTCATTATAAAAAGAGTAAAATAATTTTCACTACATTTTCACAAGTCTAATTCTTAAGAGATTGTTCAAGGATTCTCTTATCTCTGCAGACTACAACCATTTTACAGGTTCTAGTCATCTTCTGGTCATATTATTACCAGAAACTTGTAGGGCAATGGGTTATTTTCTAAAGGAATCCTACCAACAATAAGCATCCAAATCAATTATTTGACCAACAAACTACTGACACACCTCAGAAGTCACTGACAATTGTTTCTAATGGACCATTTTTAAGCATGCAACATAACGAATCCACAAACCAGATAAAGAACCCTTCCATGATGACACTGACACTAGAAACCCATGAACCATTTCATACAGATTGTTCATCTCAACTATCACCTAAAATCACAAAGAGCAATTAGCTTTTACTTTTTGGTAAAATTATGTACTTTAACAATCTACATAAAGGAGCAACTGGCTGTATAATACAGCAATAATAGAACAGACCCATTCCCAATGAACTGCATTGAGATACCAATTTGAGAAGAAAAGAGACTGCCTCAATAAATAAATAAATAAAACACCATTGGCTTTGATTTCTGTTTCACCACATTGTTTTCTAGTACAAAATAAACATACCAGTTTCACAAAAAAAAAAAGCTTCTCTTACTTCATCAGAGAAAATCCACAGTCAAAATGGATTAAAACCACACACAGAAGTATAGATAATGACATTTCCTTATCATCTAATTAGTAGTCTGGACACAGTGAATTGAACATCAAATCTACTTAAGAGTTTATCAGCTGTCTACACTTCACAGAAACAAAAAAACACATGTAAGTTATCCATAAAAATTCAACTCAATTTCCAAAACCCCTTCCCCCTCCAAAAAACAGAGAAGCATCCCCTGTCAGCACTTTAGGAAGTTTGCTTTTACTGCATGAATTACAATGTGATGAAATGTTTGCTTGAAATATTGATTCATAATCAATATTTGATACAAAAACATTTTAAACATTAGAGAAGTTGAGTACTTTAGATTTGAAAAAGACGTAAATAATTATGCATATAACCCTAAACTACTAGTACTACTACTTGTATAATGGAATTGTATAAATTATATACCCTTCACAACGACAATCTGTATCTTCATACAAATCTTTTGTACAGCTATTCATTCTTGCAGTAGTAGTAGTTGCTGTTTAACTTTTTGCATAAGTGCAGATCTTCAGAAATTGCTGACTACTGAAAAATGTTATTTGAATGACATGACAAGATGAAATAGGGCAAAACACAAGACTGCAAAGACTACCTCACTGCACCAACTAGTCTCTAAGAAATAAGATTTTGAAATATAATTGTGCAATAGTTCCAGAAGCTTAAGGAGCTTGCTGCATCTGAAACTTAAGATCTTGAAAACTGACCAAACAGATTTTGCCTTACTTTCCCCACAGGAATCTTCCATGCATCTTCCATGCCCATTCAGTCACAACTCTATTTCTATCAGGTAAGTTAATAAGAAATTGTAATTAAATCAGTGCTTTAGGAATATGCATTTTATTTACATACATAAAGCTACATCAGTTTTGTATTAAAAATATTTAGCAACCACTCAAAAATTATGCACAAAATAAATTTAATGTACAAAACGCCTTAGGAGTATTCAGTTTGAATACCAGAAGTAGTATGTCTATGTAGTTTAGTATTGTCTTTTTCTCTTCATGTGCAAACACAGACAGGTATCTTGCAATGTTAATATGTGAATTCCAAAACAATTAACACAATCAACTCATATTAAGCAAAGATACACAGTAGCTACAAAACAAGGAGGGAAAAATTATATATATATATATATATATCAAGAAAATAAGCTCACTGTGTCAGGCATTAAACAGGCAGATTTAGTTAACAAGAATTCTAATATTCATCAGGCACAAATCCTTCAGTGCAAAGGCCAAACACAGCCTTGTTATACAAAATGCCACATACTATAATATCATGCAGTATTCTAAGAAAATTAAACCTGTCCTTGATAGCATAAACGTGGTTCTCAGTAAAGAAATTAAGGAATAATTAGAGAAATTAATAAAATACCGGTTTCATTTAAAAAGCAAATACAGTGACATAATACCTTTTGTTTAGAAAAACAAAACGATAAAACTGTCCAAGAATGAAAATAAATAATTTCTGCTACAAATTATTTGGAATTCAGGTTTATCCACCACTTAGGCACCTTCTGCAGTGTTCAGCCTGTAAGTTTGTACTAATTCAAGGCTCACTTCGGGATTCAGGATTCCAAACTAAAGAAAAATCCCTTCCCTACTGCTTATACACTGAACAGCACGTATGGCTCTTTCATGACCACTAACACTACAGTCAAATGCAAATGAAAAAGTAATTATATATGAAAATCTAGGTACCTAACAAGATCCAAAGTTGTTTACTAAGGTAGCAAACCCACAGTAAGATCTGTGATAAACATATAATGTTTTAGCCACCTGTTGAAACTTTAATCTGCATGAAAACTATGGCAAAACCGAGCTCCAAGTACTACACGCTGCCCCCGCTACTTGTACATACTTTCCAATGGGACCCATACAACATACATTTAGTTGTTCAGATCAGGCTACAAAATTACTAAAATGCTAAGAAGTTTTATGCAAATAAGGGCAGCCAGAGGAATGAGAGAACAGATCAAAACCAAAGAGAAGCTAGACAAGAATAAGAAAACGTTTAGATGGAAAAGTGAAGCAATGAAAATTGAAAAAACCCACATGTACTAGAAATCTCTACCAACATTAATTAGTGCCTCAAGAATACTTGGAACACAAGAAAGCAAAACCACCTAAAAACATACCAGGCATGAGAATGCCAAACTTTGCACTAATGTTCTATGTTTAAAAATCAGAATTTCTATTCTAGAAAACACACAATCTTGGAAAGCTGAACTTTATAAATTCTCCAGATAGGACCTTTTGCCTCAGTAGGAGTAAGAGACTTGGATTTTTAAGCAGGGGAAAGTTAACCTTTGGAATAACTACAGAGAAATAGACCACTGAAAAGCATTTCATATTCTTCATACAGAAGTATTTGCTATTATGACTAATTAATAAAACTTCCAGTATTACTATCAACCAGGTTTCTATAGAAAGTCTTCAGAGGAAATCAATTATGCTCCTCCTAATGAATTTATCACTGTACAATGGATTGTATTTTTTAATCCTCTAAGGCACTCAAAATAGGTTAGGATACAGACGGCTAGATTAACACGTCAACTGGAACATAAACACTACAGCACTGTCATTATATAAAACTTTTATTAATAAGGGTAAGAAACATTCATTTCATTCATGAGGTCAAAGGTCACACTGCTCCTAAATGACAATTTCATCAACTAAACAAACAAGCAAAATATACAGATCATTAAATTTGTACCTGAGAGAACTGGAACATGTTTTATTTTTATTTAGAAACAGAACTGTAGTGCAACCTGAAGTCAAGAATAAACCTAAAGTTTTTGTCTTCTTTTTGATGTAATATGATTAACAAAAATTAGATTAAAACTAGATGAAAGTTCTATCTACTGTTTCATACTAGCTGCCAAGTTTAGCATGAATATGTGTATGGCAGTACATGAACAAACATATTTTTGTAGTTGCAGCAGTATCTTTATTGAACTTATTGCTGTTCAGAATTTAAAATAGTGACAATGACATGGGAAATATATTAGAAGTCATAATGTGTACTAAGAAGAAAGTTAAAACATATATACAGTTGCTAATTTGACCAACAGGGCACCAGAAAACGTCCAGAATGTTCTGATTTGGATCTTTCACCTGAAGATTCAAAGCAACAGTAATGGGTGCAAACAGTAGAAGAGAATGTATTTCCATTTCTAAAAGAAGTTTTCTTCAAAACAGACAAGAGGCAGACACAAATAGCACTTATGCTTTGCCTGATTTTTTTTTCCATTGAGCAAAGACTCTCATGCTACAGCTGAAAGAACTGTTACTCCAATACTCCTCTGAAAGACTTGAGAATAAACCATAGAATCCTAGGGAAACTTCTCATGAAATAAATGCAGCATGTATTTATATACCTATAAAATTGCTGTTTTAACATTCTGAATATCATATTTTGACAGCTGATTGGAGGAGGAGCACAACAATTTTCACTGCTTGCTCCCCTACAAATTTGGTCCTATCAAAAACTATACATGTCCTACCACAACCAGAACTGTCAAAACCTGAGGTCATTGAGGCTTTTAAAAACTAAAGGTATTTCTGTTGTAATAGTGTCATCAGTATAAATATAGAAAGAGAATAATGACAGTGACTGGAAACATCAATTACAAGACTGACAGTTTAATAACATACCTTTATCAGAAAATCTAACCTTAAGAACATTTAATAAAACACTTGTAATATAAACTGAGGTTCCTGCTCCCCAAACTATACACCATATAGCAAAAGTAAATTACTTTACAAAATAATAATTCAGTGTTCTTCCCAATGAACTGTATCTTCAACACCTAGAGATATTTCAAGAAGTCTAATGGTGTTCACAGAATTTTGTACATGCAATATCTATATACTAAAGTTCAAGGCTTTGCGAAAGTTAAAAATGTTAAAACTGTCAGTGAAAATTACGCAAAAATTAAGACATTCAGTGCAACAGTTTAAAAGTTCACATACAAATTTGCTACCAATCAGTAAGAACTGTAATATGTCAATTTAAAAAATAAAAAAAAATCAATTCTGCATTATAAATACGTCCTATATGATTTTTTTTTTTAATATAACGCGATATAAACAGTGAGACTTGGGTTTTCCTTATTACTGTCTTGCAAAAGCTTTTTTTTGGTTAGCTTTTACAATATCATCAGGAGATGCTGATTTGAAATCAAATGGTGTTATGGCTACTATGGGACCAGTTTCCTTGGGTTTTACATCTTGTACCTGTCTACTGTATAGGAAAGTTTTATGTACACCAACTGTGTGACGCTTATATCCTTTGGGAGGATAACGGAGGCACAAGGTTAAAGCAAAAGCTGAAGGTCTTGCACACAGCGCCTTCATCCACGAAAGGGACAAATCCTGCCTCTTAAGACCATGCCCTTTTTTGGTTTTTCTGTTTATTTTGGCAAAACCAGAACATCTTCCTTGTTTTTCTTTTACAAGTTTAGTTTCAGGGCTTAAGATACTTGACTGTCCTACCACATTTTGCTCTGTAGATACATCTTCACTTTTTACAAGGACACTCAAATCAATGCTGGTTCCTTGGGAAGGCCTGAATTCCATTACACTGTGCACGGGCAAGTCCATCCTTTGCTGAGTTTTATCTATTTCAATAGTCTCTGCTATTAAATCCGAGAGTGATAAATTCTCAACCTCCTTTTCTGGAGAAACTTTAGAGAGGGCTAGAGAAGACAAAGATCCTGTCAGCTCTGGCATCCCAACTGAAATTTGGGGTTGACTTACTAGTTGTAATAATGATGAGGTTCCCAATTTCCTATCAGTGAGGCTTGCTGTTGACTGGGTGTACAGATCAGCCAAAGAGTAACTGTGGCTAGCACTGCTTTCCTGGTGCTCCTGAAGTAAGTCAGCCAATGAAGTACTTCCAGGTCTTAACACTGGCAAAGCAGCCAGGTCTGAAGAGGGACTTTCTTGTTTTCTACTTTGCACAAGCGAAGAAAAATTTTCAAGAAGTTCATTCTTTTTATTTACAGTATGACTGACTTCATTATCAAGGGCCAATTTTCCTAAAGCACTTGTTAAACATGGAGGACTGTAAAAATTTGCACTACTACTACAATCAGAAGTATTTGGGGAAATGAGAGGAATGTTGTCTTCAGGACTCAGAGAATCACAAACCACATTCTCCATCAGCAAGGATTTCAAGTCCTGTGTTTCCTTGCATTTCGAGGGGTTACTTCCTATGCTAAAGTAAACACTGTCAGGAACCAAACTTACTGCATTAGCACTTTCTGGTAGCTGCTTCTCTGCCTGTTTATTCACAAGTTCACAAAGTGATCCTTTACACAAATCATCACTGAATGAAGATGACTGAACAAGTGAAGAGGATTTCAATCCTTTCCTTTCACATGAAGGTATATCGGATTTTTCAGCGTTAAGGAATACTTTGTCATTTGTAATATTCTTTAAAGAATAAAGAGCTGAGCCACTTTTGGCTGTCAAGTTTCCAAACTCAGGTTTGTTGGTGTTGTCAGCAAAATTTTCTACTGCACAAGAGACACTGTCTGTATCAACACACATTTCTGGACAACAATGTAAGTCTCCTTACCTTACGATAGCCAATAATTTTCAGATGGAAGTGCAATCACAACGAAATATCCAATTTTTTTAAAGTTGACAGCAGCAACAAAAAAAAAAATCAAGAAACATGAAAAGGCATTTAATTACTAAGTGTTATCCAAAAGTAAGGAATGCTCTACAATTAAATTACATGTATCTACTGAAATATCTAAGAAACTTTAAGCAAAGAATGCCAGTAAAGATTGCAAAGATTTAAGCACAAATCAAAATAAGAAAAGTTACTGTATAGACACTACCAAAACAGGGAGGTATTGGGGATGGGAGATGTCAGTTCACCTAACAAATAATGGAAGCACATAAAATTTAAAGATGCTGTCCATCTTAAAGGGATACGCATTAATTCAGTCATCATATATTATAAATCAGAAGTCTATCATGAACTGCAGCTGTTTGCAGTTTGCATTTAAACTGACACTAAGGTGTTATTTTGACTTCCAGCTCAAGAAAAGCTACTGTTTCCTTTCAATGTTTGAGAATGCAGATACAGTAAGTTGATATTCTTTAATTCTCTAAGAAATTAATATTGCAATAATAAGCATCTTCAGTTTGTAAAGCCAAAATTAAACTGTAGATAGAAATTAAATCACCTTGAAGGTAAACAATTAAATATAAATATACCTTTTGTATTCTTTGCTAAATTCACAGCATCCTTATTCTTGGTCTTCACATTTTGCTTACTGCCTTGTGAAAGCACAAGATCCAAAGCCTTCTGTACATCAAATTTACTATCCAGTAGTGCTTGCACCATTGCTTGTTCTGGTATGGACTCTGCCAAAATTTCTCTCATTTGATCAAGGCATGAATTAAGACGGGCTGAAAGAAACATAATACTGTTATAAGCTGCACAAAAATGTGTCTTAGATGGCCTAACCACTAGCACCACACTTCTAATAAGAAAACAGAAGAGAAAAATATTACAATAAGTTAAAACCTTTAGAAATTAATTTCAATCTCACTTACTGCCCTGATAAACTTTGTTTCCACACCCTGCAGAATATTTGACCTATTTCAGACATTGCTATAAGGAACATATCACTGACTACTACTTAATAATTTAGAAAGTCTCAATATTGAAATATTTTGATGTTGTAAAATAACTACCTTAACTGCAGAGAAGAAATACAAATAATCACCTTAAAATTATCCAAATTAATTTAGTAAGTCAACGTGGAACCCCACTGAACAGTGTATTTTAAGCATTTACAGATGCTACAATTAACACCTGAAGTAAAACAGCATTTTTGAGGTCCTCAGGCCTTAACAACTGAAAACTCTGGATCAACATGCCAGGTTTCAAACTACCTGCAATCTTTGCTTTTTCTAAAAGGCAAAGTAATATATTTTTTGGCTGATAAAAATCAATTTCCTTTGGAGCGTATTTTTGCAACTAGCCTTGACTAAGATACTTGCTGCACAACAAAAGACTGAAAATTCACCAGTCTGCCATTCACTGGAAGTAGGGTGCTGATCAGCCACACAAACATAAAAGAAGACAATCTTCCTGAATATCCCAGTTTCTGCCAGTTCAGGTTTTAGAAAACAGAAACTGAAGAACAGGAAGACAACTACATATTTTTTATTTCAACACCTCCTGAAAGATTTTTAAAAAACTGCTACAGGAATTCAACACCACAGAATTCCTGTGGTGTGGTTACTTAAATTAGCACCTTCTACCTGTAATTCAAATAGCAAGTCAATGTTGCCCACACATTTGCCATGCCAAACAAGTATGGGCAGAGCCCTACACAATGGCTGGTTGCCATTTTACTATCTAACATTCAACAAGGACAATCTTTGCAGCCACATTGACTGCATCAATAACTTTGTATTAATGGCCAGCACTGCACATTGTCTCAAACATAACAAGTCTTCTGAAACCGCTGCTGTTTTCACAGTAGAAATGGTTATTTTGAGGTTTCTTTTCCTCCTTTTTTTAGTCTGGAATGTTAGTTTCCTTCTTGTTCCAGTACCAGTTCTTGACCGATTAAGTCTGTCAAAAGCATCATGAAAAGCTAGAGGACCATATGGTCTAGATCACCTGTACCATTGCACTGGCTCGTTCTTTCAAATTGCCCTCTACAGCATTATTTCCTGCTATAAAAACAGGATAGTCCCTAATGTACCATATTTAACCATATCCAAGCATTAGCATAACTTCTACCAGTGTAACTGACATGGAATCAAAACTGTTTCTGTTCTATCTATTGCTCTGAATTTTCTGCAACTTCTTTTAAGTACCAAATTTCAACGCACTTTACCTGAGCTTATCAACATTTTAAAAATAACCCTGATTATTTCAAAAACATTAAAAACTATATTATCTATTAATACTTACAAAGAGACTTGTCAATCTTTTTCACAAAGCAAGTAATTAAGCAATCAGGCAGCAAGTTTAAAAAACGAAAGCAAGTATTTTTTCCCTCACCACTTAGCTCAGAAGTTAGCTTGTAATGTGGAATTCATGGCTGCAAGACTGAATGGAAACAAAAGTCTTATGAATTCAAAACAAAGTAAAAAAGATTGTAGAGAATATTGGCTACTGTTTCAAGGAAATGAGATACTTTGAAAACCCCTCTAATGCTGCTAATTGCTATACTTCAGAATGCAAAACAAGCAAAAAATCATGCTACAAATACTCAGTATTCAAGAGTCAAGACTTGAGCAATCAGTACAGCTGTTCTTATGTCTGAATTTCACATGAAATCTCATTATTTCTAGTAAAAAAGTAGGAACGCGTTTCAGTGTATGAAACCAAGTTACAAGTAATTCACAAAAGGTAGTTAAAAATTTGAAGTCACCACTGAGGCTACGTTCATGGAAGGTCTTGTTCTACCACAAGGTTACAAAACTGTGAGCAGTGTTGATCAAGAAACATTAATTTAAGACTATACTAGTAAATCCTTAATTAATATATGAGATTATTCTGATAGTTATTTATTTTCTATAATTACCTCTATCAACTTCAGTCAACTGATGACCGGATGTAAAATAATCAGCAGTATCATCGGTACCTTCATAGCCATATTCTTCTTCTAAAGGCTCAGCAAATGTGGCTGGTTTGTCTCGTCTGGAGTAGATAAATTGAGCTGCTGCATTAGATAAAAAATGAAGTATGTAAAAAAAAAAGTCAAATTTTTTTTCCTTTAAAAACAAAACATATGTAAACGGAAAATAAGTTAGGAGACTGAATTGTTGCAGTGGTTTCAAGGGGGTGGGGGGACACTGCTGTATAATCACTACTACCTGAGAACTACACGGAGCATACAACAGCTCATACTAGAATATAAATAAGTCATCATCACAGTGAAACTACAAACTGGCCAATATCCTTGTATCCATGTAATCCAACAATTCTGCAAAGTTCAGTATTGGAACAAAAGAATATACTAATGGTTTGAAAAACAGTATTTTTTTATACAAATTACCATCTGTGGCCTAATGTCTTCAGAGCCTTACTCCAGATTTTTTTTTACTTTAGTTTCAAGTAAAAAAAAAGGCATCATGAAATTCACGTTGCTTTTACAGTATGTCACTGTCAAACTACTAAGAGGACTTTCATAGAGTTGAACATATTCTTCCCTTCTTGGAATTTCATTGGAAACACAGCCCATGAGTTAAAATGTATAATCACACAAAACTTTAAACAAGTGTACAGTTTCACTCTGATTTAGCAACACATTAAGGCATATATAGATAAAACTACTTGCTGAATAAGAGCCCCAGTCATTATACACTCTCAGAAATGTGCAAGGTATAATGTAAACAAATTGCCCTATGTTACGTAATATGCCCCCCAGCTCTGACATACATACTGAAAGCATACATATATCCTGAAGTGAAGTAGTATAGCCTTAGAAACTGTTTCCCAAATGCACACATACTGTTTCATATTCAGTCACCAAAACTGAAGCAACTATTAAAAGATCATTAGACGATCTAGATCAGATTATTTTATAAATGAAGCTTACACACAAAGAGTTCTTAGGAAAATTACTGTGCACAGGCAGGAATTATTTTTGCAATTTATCAGTCTATACTTGAGCAAAAAGTATAAGTTACACATTTTCACCACAAAATAAACAAGGCTATTACTAATTCTTAGAGAATGACTGAAAAAATCTAGCAATTAAACTCAGAAATTGAATGCAAGACAATCTGTTGGGGAATGTGACTACAAATACAAAAATTACACACCTAGATTCCCACACACCTAGATTCCCTCATCTAAAATCCACAGCATGAAAGAGGAACAGACTTTTAAAGACTTAATTATTTCAAGTTCCTGTGACCAGAGGTCACACACTACATCACAGTCACAGTGGATTTAGATCCAGACCAGTTACCAGCAGTAGCACAGCTTCATATCAACACTAGCTGTACTATTTCCAGGGCCTACTCAGCACTAGAAACACTGCCACCCAATCTGGGGAAACCCTGAACTGATAACTTGCCAGAGACTTGACTGGAGAACACAACCTAATGGTTCTACAGTGGGGTTAAATTCCTCTTGGCTGAGCTGCTTCAATTACATCTTACCTGAGCACACAGCATCACTATTTTTAAACCTACTTTGCAACATTACAAATACTGGGAGGCTGGTTACCTCCACGTGACCTTGCATGAGAGGAGAAGCCACTGAGGATCAGCATTACATCCCACAATAAGACTCCTTGCCCCACATTTGCTTAAAGTTGTGTAAAAGACATCAACTACCAGGTGCAGAATCACAACTGTTAAGCCCACATAGATTGTACTAACAATTTGAACAGATAGTACATGTTTCATGATTATCAACACATTCCCACAGACCAGATTTCTCCATTACCAGGTATATTCTGACCATCTAAGATAATATAATATGCTTGTAAGAGTCAAGATGTAGCCAGTTGTCTAATGTGACTTCCAAAAATACAATACTAACATTACATAACTGACTTTAACAGGATTGTGGCTATTACGCACTTTTCAAAAGCATCACTAGCTTTTAAATATTGTTTTAATTTATTGAGCAGGGATCAATGGACAATACTTAAATGTAATTATATGAACTAACCTGTTGAAGGAGAAATGCAATAATCATCTTCTACAGATTGGCCATACACATCATCATCTTCAAAATCTATAAGGCAAAACCAGCAAGATTCATGTGCACAACTTCTAAATAATATTACAACTCAAAGTGTAGCTTTTGCACAAGGTTTTATGAAATTATGCATCTCCAGTATTTCAGAAGCGCAGTTAAGTTCTTCTTATTCTCCTAGGTAAGAATTTCTAAGTTACAGTAATAGAATTTTGTTAGAATAATAGAATTTAACATTTAATACTCTATTCATTAGAAAAGCTGAAAATTTTCAAGAGCTAGAATGCTTCACACCTCCTCCTTCAGCATCCCCTTTGGAAGGCTGCCCTCTCAGACCAAATCCAACTTTCTACAGCTACACAAATCTTTACCCACAGCACTTCTCTTGATAATTCTGCTTCACCTCTCAGTCTGAACCACAGACAGTTCAATTACAATCTCTACTCCAAAAACTCAGGATCAGCATTTCTACTCACTTCCTATGTATTTCTCACCTTTCTTCTCATTTTATCCTCATGCCCATCCACCTTTCAAATGAGGTTCAGCAAGGGAAAAAACCCAATTCACAATTCCCTTTGAATATGCAAAATTTTTTCAAGCAAAAAGTAAGAATCTTACAGTTACTTAAACATAACCATATACTTTCCTCATTAAAAAAAGGCATCAAGAAGCACAAAGAAAAAGTAAGTTATGCCCTGTACCCCCAAAAAGTAATCCTAGTATTATGTAAATCTTGAAAATAAATTTGTAATTTTCTCCAAGTAATAATGAAATACACAAAAAAAGTAATAAACTATTGTTAAAGATCCTATTGCACACATTTGGCAGTTTCACAAGTAATACATATTGTTTATTGTTTTAAAAGACTTACAGACCACAGCATGCACTGACCATAAAAATAATTATTTAAAAATGACAGAAATTAGAAAGAACAGAGTAGAAGCCACTCAAGCATTCCAGCTGTATCACCAACATACTCACAGATATCACATTCAGTTATGATCACAATAACTCAAAAACGAGGAAAAAAATGGAACATGGTCATATAAAGGCCACAAAATCTAAGGCCTCAGAAGTCTTCCTATGAAAGGAAACCAAAAAATACTGTAAATATTTACTTTAGAAATGAGATACTTAATTGGGCCAGATAAAGCATTACAGAATCATAAGTGGCACAAAAAGAACATATGGCATTAAATAAAGCAACAAAGAAGATACGAAATCTACTTCATTCAGGCCTTAAATGATTGTATGTGACTATAGAAGCAGTACATTGTGCAAGAATAAGACCGGACACGTAACCCAACAGTAATGTTTCCAACAGCAGTTGCAACTTAATGGCTACAGCAAATTACTGTCCATCTCAACAACCTCATTAAAAGATTCTAATAAGTGCGTGAACAATGAAATGAATTCTATGAATTGGGCACTCAACTTCACAGATGCCACAGTCTGAGCTGAAATCAACATTTCAACCAATCTGTGTTGAAAAAAAAACTCTAAAGGATGAAAAATCAAGCAGTAAAATTCCCAATGCAGCCCAAGAGTTTCCCTATATTAGCTAAATTTACATATACAAAACCTGCAAGGTGGGACATACAGATGCCACAGCTCATATGAATTTACATGACTTGCACAAATATTCCAAGATCACAGTGCAAAACAGAATTTGTGCACCTCTAATACATACACAGTGTGTCTGTTCACTCAACAGCAAGACTAGGAGCAGGCAAAAGCATTTCTAGTAATTTTTAAATAATCTGACAAAGTGAGGCAACAAAATTGCTGCTCTCTTAACTAAGGATTCTGTAAAATACCAGTATCAACTGGAAACGTGTCCATTTTTCCACAGCCCAAGTCAACAGCAAAAAAAACTTTGAGAAAAAAAGAAGCGTGACTAACAGTTTGCCTAAGTTAATGGGCAAGGGCACAAAGAAAGCTACAGTAGTGCAAGTAAGAGCCCAGTTCTTACAGAACTCGTTCATTCCATGCAAGCTTAAGTATAGCAGGACAGGTGTCTGAAAAAGAAGTCGATCCCTAAATGCGCAATTTCATCTTTAAGAATTATATTTCTTCCGCAGGTAACAGCTGTTGCCTCTTATTTCTTGTTATGGCTGAACATCAGCAACAATTTGCTTGCATTAGGCCGTGAACACAACTTTTAAGTTTTACAAGACTAAAGGTGGGTGGGTTAAAATTGTATTGAGGCTTATTTTCAAGTCACTGCCGCTCCTGAAAAACAGAGTCAACTTGGGCATCTCAAGGCAGCGCAGGGGGGACCCAGCTGTGGCTTGGCCGCGCTTTGCCCGTTTGGAAGCTCCCGGCAGGCCCGGGCACCGGGAGGAGGTCCTGAATGCCAGTGGCAGCGCGGCCACGTGTGCCCGACCCTCCGCTCAGGCGGGAAGCGGGCCGGGAACGGGGCGGAGAGACGCCTCGCACGGAGCCCCGTCCAACCCCCGCCGAGGGGAGGTGAGGGGGCGGCTTTTCCCCTCCCACCGCCCCTGACAGCCCCCCGGGCCCTCCCCTACCCCCGTGCCGGCCCTGCCACACCCTCCTGCCCGCGGCCACCGGGACGGGCGGCCTGGCCGGGAGTAGGGGCTTGGGCCGGGGGAAGGGAGCAAGGACGGACCGGCAGCTGGGGCGGCCCCGCAGCTCTGCCGCCAGCCTGCTCGCTATAACCGCTACCTTCGTCGTAGTTGTAGCCGCGGACGTTCCTGTGCCGCGACATAATGGTGGCAGCAGCGGCCTCGCTGTCCCGCCCGCGGTGGCGCTGGTGCTGCGGGCCTACGGCGCCATGTTGGTGTCCTGCGAGGCCCGGCGGAATCCCCCCTGCGCAGGCGCGCCGTGCACCTTTCCGCCAGCGTTCGCCACCGCGCATGCGTCGCTCGCGTGGTTCGGGACCTTCCTCGGGCCGGCGGGGCGGGAGTGGGGAGCGGCTCGCGCTCCGCCCTCGCGCCGGGCGGGTGCGCGCGGGTGGTGTGAGGTAGGGACAGCCCGCTCCCTGGCAAGGGGTGGATTATTGTTCCTGGAGGAGTTCAAGTCACGGCTGGATGTGGCATTTAGTGCTGTGGTCTACTTTTCAAGGTGGAGAGCAGACAAAGTTTGGGCTCGATGAGCTCGGAGATCTTTTCCAACCTAAATGATGCAGTGATTCTGCTAGAGTGTTTCCTAAGGCTGCGTCGGGATACACGTTAGGTTTATGGGCTAAAGACAAATGCTCTCTAATGGCAAAGCACAGTGGAATAGAAAGACACTAGCCCTGAGCTCAGTAAGAGATTGCCAAGCTAGTCTGTCATTCTGCTTGTGTTACTTTCCCTCTGACTGGTATAGCTCCGCAAAGCTAGCCAGGATGTTTGGCTTCGGAAAGATGTGTTGTACACAAAAACCCACTTGTTGGTCAGCACTGTGCTAAATTCTTTATCTCATCTGCACTTTCTGAAAGCTTGTCTTGAGTACTTCACTGTGACCTTTCTCTAGCGAGTCCCCTTATTCCCATCTCTCTTCAGCCATGTTTTTCCCCAGACTGTTCTGCTTTCCAGTGCATGCTTCCAGTCACCATCGTCTCAGATTTACCAGCCCTGATCTCTGCTCATAGCCAGCCCACCCACTTACACATGAAGCTGCCTTGCCAAAGGTCTCTGCAGCAGCCTCTGGCACTGCTGTGCTCAGCCCATCGCAGGGCAGGCTCAGCCTGGGGTAGCCACCAGCGCTCCTCACCTGCCCGCAGCAGGGAAGCACCCTGGCCCTCACGGTGCCGCAGCCGACATGGAATGCTGGCATCCAACCTCCCACCCACTACCAGCAGCATGAGGCTGCCTGCAGTTGGGTGCACCTCACCCCCACATTGTTGTTCACACCTCTAACTCAAGATAAATGGCCTTGCCAAAACTGATCTCTTTCTGACAAGCATAGAATCATCAGGGCTGGAAGGGACCTTCAAAATCATCCAGTCCAACTGTCAGCCCAGCACTACACTGTAACCACTAAACCATATCACCCAAATGCAGATGCCTCTTAAACACCTCCAGGGATGGTGACTCCACCACCTCCCTGGGCAACCTATTCCAATGCCTGACCACCCTAACTGTGAAAAAGTTTTTTCTAGTATCTAATCTGAATCTCCCATGTCTCAGCTTAAGGCCATTTCCTCTTGTTCGCTCACTGCAGGCACAGTAGAAGAGACCAGCCCTTAGATCACTACAAGCTCCTTTCAGGTAGTTGTGGAGAGTGATGAGGTCCCCCCTGAACCTTCACTTCTTGAGAGTAAACAAACTCAGCTCCTTCAGCCATTCCTCATGAAATATGTTCTCTAGTCCTTTCCTGAGCCTTCTTGCCCTTTGCTAGACACACTCCAACACCTGGATAACTACACCAAGAACTGATGATCAAGAACCGAAAATAAACTAATATACAATAGCAAGCAGCATGGCAAGATGTGCCAAGCAATATGCTAAAAGCAAGAGGTTGAAAATTCATCCCTAATAAGAAGGATGATTTCAAGTTTACTCAGCAGTCTCTGGCCTCTCCAAACAAACTAGTAACATAGAGTCTATCTGTGTTAGATGTCTGTGTGGTGACTTAAGTGAATTACAGGGGAAAACTAGACATAAGATGCCCATTTTCTATCAATGAGAGGTTTGATTCAAGCCAGAAATGGGAAGTGTGCATGTGCACACATGTAAGGAAGTGTTTTTAAGCTTATTCAAAACAGTTACATCATTGAAATCACGGGAGCATTCTGGATTGGCCTACATTCACTAACGGTATGCTCATTTAAATACACTCAAAATAATGTGTCTGTATTTGTGCACCACCATGGGAGCAAAGTTTGAAAGTCTTTGAAATTAACTACAAGGTTTTTTCAATTCTGGAACTGAATCATCTCAAATTGATCTGGCTTGTTGATGACAAATAGCTATTACAATCCAGTGACTGACTAGTGGCCCGGATTAAATAAACGGCTGTAGGTAAATGCAAGCTGTAGTAATTAGCATTACCTTTGGTAGTGTTAAGCAGCAAAATGTCAAAACATTAGGTCTCATGGAGGCCTTGATCTGACTTCATTGGCATATTACTGTGGCACCATCTAATGCCAAGTTTCATCCTCCGAGTTCAGTTGCAGTGCCAAGGGATTAGATAATCAAGGAATGTCCCTGCAGCTACTCCTCTTGTTGGGTTAGAGAGAGAAGAGCAAGCAGACAAGACTTTAAGCCTTGGCCGAAGAGGGAGTTGGGAGAGAGAGAGATCCCAGTTCACATAACCTCCAGCTCTGTAAGAATCTGCTTCTATATCTGCCAGCCTCTGGTGGTCTAGTGGTTAGGGTGCAGGACTCTCACCGCTGCGACCCGGGTTCGATTCCCGGCCCCCCGGGCAGATGGAGCGACCCGGGTTCGATTCCCGGCCCCCTGGGCAGATGGAGCTCGTTAGCCCTGTGAGGCAATCCATCTAAGAGAAGGTCACTCTAAACAAACCTACGTTCTGAGAGACTGGCCATTATCTGCCAGCCAAGACTGGCCATTATCTGCCAGCCAAGTTGTTCCCCAGGTACCTGCATTCGTCTACATGCTCAGGAGCTGTTATGCAGACAATCCCATTAATGTTTCTCAAGTCACATGTCTTCATCTTTGAGACCTTTAATAATTTATTTACCATCGTTTTATCTGGTCTTGACAATACCAAAAATCCAGCCTCCTCCAGCCACCTGCATGCCCCAGGTGTCCTCGGATACCCCACCACACAGCCACACATCCCTACAAACACACATACCATGGTTTTGTAACTGCCACCTAACTATTGTCTCGTCCTGGCCCACATGCCAAAACTGTCACTATCTACGACTCCACATCCTTCCTGGTCACCGCTAGAGGCAGGGTGTGTTAACCATAAGCCAAAGTTTGTGTTCATATACAAATTGTATGTAAAGCTGCAGATCGTTTCCCTATGTTATTTGCATATTTCTAACTAATTTGTACAGAGCAGCACATGCAGCTGCACAGGCTTAGGTTCTATATAATATCTTTCATATGGTGCTAAGATTAAAACAGAACCAGAAACAAAGATTTCTATTTAATACCGGTGTCCTGTTGACCTTTAGTGACCCAAATATTCTCTACAGCAGAGGTTTGATAGTGCTGATCCTTATCAGTCCCAATCTGTTGATATGAGTCAAAGGTACAAAAGTGAGGAATTGCTATCATACATTATGATTTAATATTACACAGCCAGGGTAGCACAATTCTAAATTAAAAACCTGAGTCCGGAATGTATTCAAAACTGGAAAATAAATAATAGTTGTAAAAATATAAAGATCATCACTATGTAGTCTTTCCATGGCATTAACAGTGAACTTGAAAGGTTGCTATTTTTCTTCATTTCAAGTGTAGTAGGTTATAACATATGAGACCTAAAGAAAGAAACTCCAAGGACAACAATTTCATACAGAAGCACAATTATTTCATATTACAGTACTATCTTCAAAGAGTCATAAATACACCGTGATCATTCCTTACCTTTCCTTAATTATGAGACCTATGTTAATGTTTTATGGAAGGTGTTCAAGCAATAATGAGCTTTAGTCCTCAAGCCCTAGATATATCTCAGTTAGTGCTACTTGTATGTGAATACAAGGTTCATGAAAGGTATTCATCTGATAGCAAAGCAATCTATAACTAAATATTATTACTTCAGCAGCAATTAAAGCACCATCAGAGAACCTGCTCCATCAGCTCTGACTGAGGAATGACTAGGTCATTTCTAGTAATAGAAGTCATTCTAGTCAGTTCTAGTAAACATTTTGGGCATTCATTTCCTTCCTGCCCACTGAGATTATATGTTACTTTAAGGTGTGTGCATTAAGAAGTCAACTAAGATCACCAGTCTCAATCCAGATGGTCATCCTCTTTTATTCAGCAGTCTCCTGGACATTCCCAACCCCAGCACCACTTTTTTTTTTTTCCCTTAACAGTAAGAATCAATTAATAAAATATTTAATAATGTCTTTTTAGCTAAATAGAAAGTCTTTCAAATGATGTTATTTCTTCTTAAAGTGAAATTACCAAGATTTTTAGTAGTTTTCTTAGTTACAATATATTCAGTCTATTTCAATATTTTGTCCATTTAAACCAAAGTCAAGTAAGGCCTCGTCTGGGAAAAAACCAGCGTAATTCCAGATGTTTTACCACACTACCAGGTGTGGGTGTTAAGTTCTAAAATATAGATATTGTCAATGTCACTAAACACTTTTCCAGCTGATAAATGACCTGACTAGCTCAAAAGAACTGCAGTCAATAAATACGTGTCTGATTTTGTCTAAAATGATGCCACATAGTCAGAAGCTGATTTAGAAGTCAGAAAACAAAGAGTATTAATAAATGATCATTATGTACATATGGTAAACAGCAAGTGTCTCCAATTTTCCACAGTATGAATGAGCTTGTTAAATATATTTATTATTTATTTGATAATGCATCAGTGCACAATGACAAGTTTCACATGTGAGTTAGTGATTTATGTTAAGTCAAGACCTTACACAATTTCAACAGAATCTAGCTAAGTCAGATGGCAACTGATGGCAAATGGTAATGTAATGACAATTCGATCTGGAAAAGTGGCCTGTTTGGGTAGTTTAATATAGAATCAGAGACTTATTTAGATTGGAAAAGACCTTTAAGATTATCAAGTCTAACCATAAACCTAACACTGCCAAGTCCACCACATTTGTGTTCCTCATAAGTATGTAAACTTTCTGTTACAATAAGGAATAAAATATTTTGCTGACTTTATCTATGTCTACACTTCCTGAAACACTTTGGTATATACTTAGAAATAACCTTTAGGTTTTTTTCT